CCGAACTTTCTTCAGGCTTGAGGTTCAGGCTCTAAGGATGTTTTCCAACATCTTCACATGGTTCTGTTGGTTGTGGGCAACGACAATGACAACCACAAAAAAATGTAGTACTACCAAAAATATGAAACCAGAATAATAGCAATAGCAGTGGCAAGAAACAGTGATAATAATGGCTGCTGCAGAAGACATATTAGTCGTACCCCTGAGCCCGAACCCTATAAACAAAAAAAATGTGTGTGTATATATATATTTATTTATTTATTTATCTATTTATATACAAGTAGTTTCCATCTTACTTTCCATTATCCCAATAGAACCCCAATATTACCCTAAGATCACCCCTGTATAATGCCTATAAACCCAAAACCCGAGCCTGATGTGCGCGCAGCGGCATGCGGTCAGACCCATGAGACACGTAGCGACCGGGCAAACCCAGGACAAAGGGTCTGCTAAAGGTGCGGCCCAGGCGTCCACTTGAGCCAACAGCACAGTCCGAAATTTTGAGGTTCCAAACCACAACCCTACTAGACTTGCCCTCCCCAAACCAACATGGAAGCCCAGAAAGGCCCCTAGACAAAGGCCAGTGTCCTCGAAAAGGGACATATCAGCTTCCATGCTTGTTTGGGGGAGCATATACCGTAAACCCTGTGCCTTATACACCCCTAGAATATGCCTACATAGATATGTCTCAAAATAACTCTATGACCATCCCCTACTAGAGTAGTTTATTGCAGTGATAATTAGGGTTCTATTAGGGTTATGTTGGGTCTATATTGGGATAATGGAACTGGGGTTACATCCCCTACATAGTCGTTTTATAGGGTTCCATCTTGGGGGAATGTGTTTACAATCAAAATACACCTTTTTTGGTGACAAAGCCTAACCCGTCCCACTTTGCAACATCTTTTACATATGGGTTACCCTAAACCCTAAAACCCTGCGCCCTAAACCCTAAACCCTCGATCCTAAACTCTAGACCCTAAACCCTAAACCCTAAACCCTAAACCCTGAACCCTAAACGGCTTAGGGTTTAGGACTGAATCATCCGCACGGCCTCCACGCCCCACTTGTCTACATATCTTCGACCGGCTTTTCGACAAAAGTCTGTGAGCTCATGAATTCCTAAATGGGTTTAGGGTTTAGGGTTTAGGGGATCCTGATCTAGACCCCTTAATACTATAGTCCTTATTTTCGGGACCCCCAAAAGGGACTCCAAATTTTGGGGAAACCCTAAACCCTATCTAACCCCATATACCCCATATAACCCTTATAAGCCCTTTAAAGGAACCCCTGATTTTCGGAAATCCCCATGTCTTCAGAGGCATGACATGCTGTAGACACCTCGTCGAGAAACTCGTGGTTGTGGATGTAGGGTTTAAGATTTAGGGTTTAGGGTTTAGGGGAGAACCTCCTTTTTTTGCAAGCGAAGAAAGCCTCACGTTTCCTGCTCGCAGAACCTCTACGAGAGCGCGTTCTGACTTGGGCATACTATTTGAGCCATTGTCTAAACTCCTAGTATCCCCCTTAAAAACCCCTATAGTAGTCCCCTATATAATCCTCTACATAACCCCCTTGAGGGAGCTTAGATTATGGTTCATTTGAAGGCAAAAGGACCTGGGGAAGTAGGGTATACATGGGGCTATAAAGATTGTCTGCAAATAATTCCCTTGGTAACCGATTTGCTGTGAGTCACCTGAGCCCCTTACTATGGCTGATACCAAAAGAACGAACCATGCAATATCCCGAATGCTTTTACGGGATCCTCATGGATACATTGGGTTCACAAACTAAGGCTTCAAATGTTGATTAAAAAAAGTGCCAACTGTGGTAGCTTTTATATACTAATTTACACCCTCAATCCTAAATGAACCCAAGGAGAACATGAGGATAACACCTTTGTACAAGGTCATTCAAGATTTTTAATACGCTGCTCACGCTGCGAATGCTCACTAACAGCCGCATCTTCTGGAGCTTCTATCCAAATGGTTGGGGGCTTCCATGTGGTTGGAGGGTGCGAAAAGCATTTTCATGAAGGAGCGTGCCTAGACTGTAAACCCTACATCCTACACCCGAAACCCTAAACCTAGATCCTAAACCCCGAAATGCCTCCACTCTAACACAAGAAGACCCAACCCAATTTTTTGGCACCATTACTTGGGATAGCATGGCCTTCCATTTAAAGTTGAGTTCAGGACTTAGGATTTGGGGATTGCAGTTCAGGATTTTAAGGTAATCGGATTCAGGGTTCAGGGTTTGGAGCTGTGTGAGTTGCAAACCAATACTACTCATGTACCCAATGAACATGGCGGGGGCTTGTTGGGGAATATCTCCGGGCTTGTGTGAAAAACGTGATGAGGACCCTATGTCCACCTGAAACCTTCCAGGGCAACAATAATTTCAAGATCATCACTAGAGCTTGTCAGCCCCATATTCCGAGTGTCCCTTAGATTTATGGTTAGTGTAGGAGCCTGGATAAGTAAAACCCTGACCGGGAAGCTTGAAGTTTACGGTTCAGGGTTTACGGTAGTGTAGGGACCTAAACAATGTCCAATATCATGCTGAAATCTTTTTGAGGTACCCAACAGCATAGGAAAACAAGGAATCTGGGACCACAATATTGGCAACTGTTCAGGCCCTAAACCCTAAACCCTAACCCTTGGAACCGAGCAGAGGAACGTGCTTTGCTTTGAAATCGCATCCTAGTGACGAGTTCCAGGCTACTTCGAGGTTGCGAAAAAATTAGGGGCCTGCCCCTTTGTGGGTTCAGGGTTTAGGGCTTCACCTTTCTGGGAATAGCATATTGTTGGGGTTTAAAGTTTAGGGTTTAGGGTTCCAATTGGGTCTCCTGTTTTTATGGAAACCCCACTTCTACCATTGGCACTCCTTGGCACGAAGCTTTGTCATGCAGGCATGCTGCTTGGCGGACATCAAAGCAGGAGGACACTATCGTCCCCCTTAAGGAGATAAAATATAGGGTTTAGGGTTTAGGGTTTTGGGCTTATAGTCCCCTCAAGTAGATAGAATATGGGTTCAGATATTGGGTGACTCCTTTGCTTGTTCCAGGTTACGCTACCTCCCCCCCGAACACAACAGCAAGACTTACCGTAGCATTTTTGGCAGTTAGAGGTAGCCAGCAGCCAAAAGCGCAAGGTTTAGCTGTGGGGGGTTTGGGGTTTATGGTTTCTCAAACCCTTAAAGCCATAGACCCGAACCCCAAGCCATGATCATGTCCTCCCACCTTCGGAATGAAAACTCAAGCCGGGAAAAGCGAGAGAGGAAGGTGAACTATAGAGATTATATTAGGGTTATATAGGGAGTATACTAGGGTTATATAGTGACTATATTAGGGTTATTTAGGGAGTATATTAGGGTTATTTAGGGATTATATTGGGGTTCTGTCTCCAGCTATCCGGGCCTGGCAGGTGTTTGCGACTAGGAGCCAGGGTTCTGCCCTAAAACCTAAACCCCAATATTTTGGAGTTAGAAACCCTTTTCACTATATAATCCCTATATAACCCCGATACAACGTTTATATATATATATAAATCACTAAAACTTAAAATCTAAAACGCGTTTAGAGTGCAAGGTTTGGGGCTTAGGCTTCTGTCTTCCGGGCCCCCTGGCCAGCATCTCGATGTAGGGGCAAGGGTGCTGAAATTTGACTGGGCCCCCCACCCAATAATAGTGAGTTTAGGGTTTAGGGTTTAAGGTTTAGGGTATAGGGGATAATTGGATTATATTAGGGTCCTCGTATATTCTTATTCTACCACTATTACAGGCTGGGAGACCACCTAAACTGGAACAATCAGTGTGATGCAACAGCCCTGCATGGCCCTAAACTCTGAACCCCAAACTCTAAACCCTGAACCATGAACCAGCTACCGTCGTCATTAATGACCGCAGAGGTTTTCAATGTTTTTAGGGTTCAAGGATTTCAGGGCTACATGAGCATGCGGTGACCAGCGCATAATGTTCGTGTTCCAGGGGCATCCGGTGACTAGAGCATCCATGCCCAAAACATAATATCGTTCGTGTTCCCAGAGCATACGGTGACTAGAGCATCCATGCCCAAACCATAATAACATTCGTGTTCCCAGAGCATACGGTGACTAGAGCATCCATGCCCAAACCATAACAACGTTCGTGTTCCCAGAGCATACGGTGACTAGAGCATCCATGCCCAAACCATAACACGTTCGTGTTCCAAGAGCATACGGTGACTAGAGCATCCATGCCCAAACCATAATATCGTTCGTGCTGGACAAAGTTGATGGTGTATGTCAAGATCTTTGCCTACCGGCACAACAGTGGCCCTGACCTGCGGTCTATGGGCAAGCAGCTGGCAGCACGCGCAAACGGCAAGTGAAAACATTTGTGTGCAGAGGTACTTTTCGCTGCGCACCAGAATCCACTGTAAAACGCAGTACATCGCGCACTTGACAAGCAGGAATAGTGGAAATACCAGTAAATTTGGCTCATGCCTTTCACCTCCACTTTTTGGACATGCACTCAAGACCACCATGAAACGCATGTTTTTCATTTACACCTCCCGAGTGCGACGTGCTGAAACTGCATGGTAGCTAACCACGACGGTACCATAAACCAACACAGCTACCCAACCTACTTTACCCACAACACGGGAAGCAATTACCCAAAATTAGTCTACTAGGCTTCCAGGATCTTCCAGGTAACGCTCAACCCAAAAGCCCAACCCTCAACCCTAAATCCGAAAGCCTAGGTGCGAAAGCCCAAGCTTTAAATTCTACACGCAGGCCTTCGCCCCTACATACTCACTTACTGGTGCTTAAGGGAAAGTGTGGTAGTGGATCCTTAGAATAGTCCCTATACCCCTCTAATAGTTTAGGGTTTAGGGTTTAGGGTGTCCCTATTGACTTCCCAAACCCCCCTTTGAGCACCAGTAAGAATGAAGTCCCCCCTTTAGAACTGCCCTCCTGAAAATGCGGCACCATCCTCTATGACGTTAGGCAGCAGTGGGAGACTCATTTCTTCAACCAAATGTCGCCGTCCTGCCACCAAATACGTGGCTGGGCATCGGCGCAAACCTGCTGAGAGCTTAGCTTCTGGGCTTGAAGGTCCAGAGTTTCAAGTTGAGGGGTTTGGGGTTTTAAGATTTAGGGTTTAAGGTGTCGGGGTTTGGGGATTTAGCGTAAGGTCGGGTCGTAGAAGTTCCGCTGCACATGCAGCTGGATAGGAGAGGCTTCAAGCTCTCGGGTTTCCCCTAAATTCAGCTTGCTGAAGGTTAGCAGAAGCAAACATGAGAACCTTGAGGGACTCCATAGCACGAAAGCCCAAGCCCACCACCTTGCGTGGTTAGGGGAACCCTAGACTCTAAATTCAAGAGCTGAGTGGCTGTGAAGATACTTGAGCCTCTATCTTTTCCTCAAATATCCATACCATTGCTAAACCCTACACACCCTAAACCCCTAAACCCCTCAACCTCGGACCCCCAAACCTTGAACCCAAAACAATCCTATTCAAATTCCCCAAGAGCAGCACAGAGAGGATTTGCCCTGCAAGGTGCTCACCCCGCCGTCGTCAGCATTCTACTGGTTGGACTTATTGGGGTTATATTGGGGGGCAATGCAAAAGAAAATTGCACCTACTAAATTATTTACGGTTTAGGGTTTAGGCTTTAGGACGTAGGGTTCAGGGTTCATCGTTCAGGCTTGACTGGTCTAGTGCTTAGGGTTTAGGGTTTAGGGCGTAGGGTTCAGGGTTCATGGTTTAAGGCTCAGAGTGTAGGATCTAGGACAAAGGGTACAGGTTTGATGATTTTTGGGCTTAGGGCTTCGGGTTTTGGATTTAGGCTTAGGGTTTAGGGTTTAGGGTTGAGTATGGTCAGTCTGATGCATGCTCATCGTCATGCATTGCGGACTCCAACAGTTGCTGACAGCAAAGTGTACCCAGACAGTTTTGCCCATATACCGCCCAGTTTTCTTTCATTTTCCATTATCATGTCCATTCGGTTCTCCATTACTGGGGCAATGTCCCTATATAATCCCTGATAAAATCCCGTATGTAACCCCCTTTAAGGAGTTTAGACTGTAGCTCATATAAAATCTTGTAGAAGCCTAATCACCATGCCGTTGCCTCCCCGATGAGTACCATGTCGTCCACTTGAAGCTTCACATGCGTCATTCCGCCTGCAATATTTTGGTCGCTGCAAAGGGTGCTATGGGGATATACCCTCTAACGGATCTAAATCGGTAAAAGGTTTAGGTGCCAACCATAACATCAAAAAAAGTGGGGCTTGGGCATTGGTGGTTTCGGCGGCAAGCAAAACACATGATCCACTTCGCGGCTTTGTCCAGACTGCCGCAGGCGGATACTTAGGGATAATACCAGATCTACTTCATACGGAACAGACTTTCCCTGGAAACTCCCAGTTTCCATTTCATATTCCATTTTCAGTTCCATCGAGTCTCCCTTGTTAGATCAGAAACCCTGTATGCCCCCCTACTCCTTTCTTCCGGCCCTTCCAGTAGAGTACCTTGAACCCTGAATGCTACTGGGCTCAATGGACCTACCTGTGCTGCAACCCCATACAAGGTATAAAGAGATATAAGGGGGTACATGTTGAAAAATACAACTTGGGCTACAACCGAAACATTTGGAGAATCAAATGGTATATAAAAAAGGACATGAAATCGAAACTACTCTTTAGGGTTTA